TTTGCATTCGTTAAAGCATTATAAGATATACGTTTTGTCTGTGATTTTTACATCCGTTAAAGCATTATAAGATATTCGTTTTGTCCATGATTTTTGCATCCATTAAAGCATTATAAGATATAAGTTTTATCCATGATTTTTGCATCCGTTAAAGCATTATAAGATATACGTTTTGTCTGTGATTTTTGTATACGTTTTTCCAACTTTTCCGTATTAAGTTTAAGGTTTTTACTTAAAAAAAAATGTATACATTATACTGAAATTCCATAAAAATTATACATTATAAAACTTTATATTTTTATGAAATTTTATATCAAATTTTTTATTGGGTCATTTACGTCATTTAAGCATACGTAAGTTCATTTAGCTGTTGTTAGATAAACAAGGAAATATAGATGCTAGCAATAATATTGTGCAAACTATGTAAAATAAAAGTAGTTATATAGCATGTTGTATTCGAAAATGGGAAACTCATTTTATAAAAACAGGAGAGCTATTTACTTATCATTAAAAAAAGCATTCAAAATTAGAGAGCTTATTAAATGATAAGGATTTCAAAGAAGAATATCAAATATGGCTACGATAATAGACACCAGAATCATGTTCTCCTAAGAACCTAAAAATGCATATTGAAGAAATGGTATTTCTAAAATTAACGAGATATATTAAAAAAGATATGATTTCTAAAAGGACCTGTCGAACTTATATGTATTTATGAGGATATAAATATGACGAGAAGAAGAAGGGGTTTATTATGATGGGCATGAATGTCCAGATGTGGTAATGTATAGGAAAGAATGGTTAAATATGATGTTTGAATATAAAAAATCTATGAAAGATTTCAATGGTGACATATTGGATATTATTTTGGAACTTTAGCTTAAATTAGGAGAGAAGGAATTAGTGCAAGTAACATATGATGAATACTATTTCTATGCAAATGATGAGTAACGAAGGATCTGGGTAAGAAAAAATGAAAATATTCTACGCTCGAAATACATTGGACGTGCTATTATAGTTTTAGCCTTTCTTTGCTAATGTCACAGGTTATTGCGATTATTCAATGAATAATTGCAAGCAAATTCACACATTAGAAATAAAGAATCTTTATTCTTCATTCTATACAAATAGACAGATATTGGAAATTAAAGCATATGTTGGACCAGGTTTGGGCTTTTTTTCATTGATCCAAAATAAGAATTGTGAATTTTTTAAGAATAAATCTTAATTATAAATATAGATTATACAAGCAATTCTGATATTTGAAATATTGCATCCGAGATATGTAAAAGTTTTTTGCTTTAATCAGTCAACAAACTATAATGCTATGGCAGATAATGCTCTTATCGCAACGAGAATGAATTTAAATTCTGGAGGAAAGCAGCCTAAGATGCATGATGGTTAGTACATTAATAAATATGGTCAAAGATGTGTTCAATCAATGATATTCCCAGATAATCATAAACTAAAAGGACAACTAAATAGTATCAAATAAATACTAAAAGAATGTAACCTTTGGCCAATGAAAGAAATTCGTTTGATATGTAAGCAGTGTTCTGGAAAATAGGATAATATTAATCCAGAAAGATTAGACTGTTGTACGTGAAAAATAATGTTATTACAACTCAATTTTTGCAAATAACAGTCGATATTAGAAGAAGTGATAATTAAAGCAGGCATATTTTTGAACGATATCCAAAATTTCATTGCAAATGCAATTTTATAGAGTGGTATTAGAGTTTTGCAAAAAAAGAAACCAGAAGAATATGTAGCTATAGTTTTGCAGACTTACTGAAAAGGTTTTAGAAGTTCTTATTGGTGTCTATTCATAAGTTTACATGGAAGTCGTAAAGATACATAGATGCATATAACAAAAGATTGGAGGGTAGGACTGCTAAATAGGCGGTTAATAAGTATAAATTCACTGCTGATTACTAAAAAATATTGAAAAATTAATGGAATAATATAGTTAGTTATATAGCCTGTCACAAGCTGTAAATCGTTAAATACAATATAGTAAATAAAATACTTAGCTTATAATGTTACTTTATTTCACATGTTCAATAGAAGTTGATTTAAATATTAGTATACGTAAGAGCATAAAACCTTAGCACGTCAATTTAAACTCATACTTCGATTGTTCTTCATTACACAAATATTCTCAGTTTTTATTAGTCAATCTGGATTTCACATGATATAAGATCGTCATCAGAAAATTGAAACAATTTTTGAGTATAGATTTCTAGCACCATAAAAAATCTCCTATTTTTAAAATTACTTAATATGCAACTTGAAATTAAATAAATATCTATTATTTAATATATTAGTTTTTAAAAAGATCTGCAATGAATCCAATTAAAATTCAGGAATATAAAGAATACAAATAAACTAAAAAAGAATTCCAATAGCATGAATTCTTAAAACTTGATAAAAAATAATACTTAAACTTTAGAGAAAGTATATTTATAAAACTGGTTTTTTCAATTTATTGAAAATTAATTTTTATTATTATTGCAGAGTGATCTCTAAAATTATGCAGCTTCTAGATTTTTTTATGGTAAATCAATATCCTGTCAATAAAAAGGAAAAATTGAAGAAATTATTAAGGATGTAAGTGTTTAAAATTTATATTAGCAAAAATAAATAAAATTAATTTTTTTATTATTATAATATAATTTAAAGAAGCAAATACAACATTTTCAATCTCTGAAGCAGATTTTATTTTATGTGAATGGCTTGCCTTATATTACAATAGTACAGGTATGTTTTATTAAATTTTATAGTATTTTATTCTTTTTTTTAAAAAAGAAAACTTTTTTAACTTTAAAAATTGTATAGTTGATTAAGCGAAAAAAAGGAAATTTCTAAAGCAAAAAAACATGGTCTTTCATTATTACTATTAAAAAAGAAAAATATTAAACCTCCTAAAAAGTAAAACATAAATTATTCTATTGAAGTTTTACAAGATACTAAAAGCACTTCAAGTATTATTTTTTACACTATATATAACTTTTATTAGTAATTAATAATATTAATACTATTTTTATTTTATAAAACAATAATTTCACCTTTATCAACCTCAAATGCAGTGGATTTACCTTTTTCTATTTTAGTTTTAATAGTACCATCTTTACCTATTTCAGATGCAGTAAATTTATTCTTGTTTACTCCAGTTGTTTCAGTATTACAATCCACTTCAGATGCAGTGGATTTATCCTCATCCATTCCAGATACAGTGATTTCACCTTTACCTACTTCAAATGCAGAAACATCTGCTAGTGCTTCCCAAAGTAAGAAGTAAATGATATTCTTAAATAAATATAATTATTTTACTTATGTATTTTTATATTTCTAATTTTATAATTTTGTAGATAATGATAAAAAAGGGAAAGAAAAAAGAAAATCAAAAGATCCTCTATAGAAATCAATAAAGATTCCACAAGTAACAAGTTCTAACAAGAAACTTGAATAATAAAATTATAGAAATTTTTGTAATTATAATTAAATATTTATCATTTTTATATAATAAAATTATTCAATAATTTTCTAGAGTTCTATACGAAATTATCCATTTTTATTTAACAATAATATCAGTATTTATATGAAATTTATTTAATAATTTTTCAGTGTATTATACAGAATTTATTCATTTTATATAATAATTTTATTTAGTAATTTATATGGAATTTATCAATTTTTATTTAATAAATTCATTTAATGATTTTTCAGTATTCTATATAGAATTTATCAGTTTTATTAATTAAGTGTATAAATTTTATTTGCTAAATAATTTCTATGAAGTTTCTATATTAATTCTATCAATATGAGACCTTTATAAAAAAAATGGAATTTTTTATTTATTAATATAAATAGAATAAATACAGAATCAAATCATGGAAAAAGTTTTTACAGGATATTGTAATTAATACATAAATAACACTTGAAAGGATATATTTCTTTCTTTATTACAAAATCTTCACTCATCTTGAAATTACTAAATTCTATAAATGATCTTAAAATAAAATAAAATTTTACTATTACATCTTTTAATTTTATATTATCCTATTATATGATATCATATATTAGATTATATCTTTCTATAATAGTTGTGATAATAAACCTCAAATACATCAGATTAGATCCTTATGCTTAAAAGGTAAAGAAATAAAAATAATTCCTTTAATTATAACAACAAATCAATATGATTAAAAATGGAAAATTAAGTAATATTATAATTGAGTCTGAAAAGTATAAACAATTAAAGTAAAAAAGTTACATTAAATTTAATTAATCAAAGTAGAATGTTGATGATAAGCATTAACACTTTTATTATCTTATTTCTACTCTAATATTTATTTCCAATAACAAATTATGGTTGAATTTCTTATTTAGTTATACTCTTTAGCTATTTAGTTAGAAGCTTTGTCTAATACCTTTAATAGTTAATTAAAATAATACAAAAAGAATTTTTTTTAAAAAAGTGTAGTCATGCAAAATTGTAAATCTATGCAAAGGGGTATATTTATTTATTTATTTATTTGATATATCAATTTATTATCTTATATATAATATTACATAAAGATGAAAAATTTAAAA